GCCCCCCGCGCCCTGGAAGTGGCAGCAAATAAATGCGCGGGCGCACATTGAGCACCCCACAGTGGGAGCGGAGCCTGCAGCCCGCGGGGCCCACCCAGGGGCGCACGCAGGGGCCCGAGCCGGGGAGCCGGGCAGTGGCATCCGAGCGCCAGAAGAATTCGGGCGAAAAAAAGGGCCAGAGAACAGTTATTCCTACTGTTCAATGTACTCCTGGGAAGTCGGACCACCGCGAACGATCTCTCGATAGTTACACAGTTTCCAAAGCGCAGCGAAGGTTTCCAGCCCGGTCTCCAGCGACCCAGCGGTCGTCATGGCAACACAACCCAACCCCAAGTCCGGGAGGTGATAGACCTGCCCGCGTGTAAGCCACGCCCACCCCGGGCGGGAGCCCCGGCGGGTGGGAGGCCCACCCCCTGCCGGCAGAATCGGGCTATGAACGCCCTCGCCGGCTCAGGTGTCGGTCAGCATCTGGGGGATCTGGACCCGCCAAGCAGAGACCTGGTGCACCTAAGAATCCCTGCAGCCCTCCTGCCCCACCAGGGCTGGTGTGCACCATTTTTTATTTTTTAGTTTTAGTTTTACTTAATGCATGCCAGGCTGGGTGACTTCAGTTTTTAAGGGAGTCCCTTTCAGAGAATACGAAATTACAAATTCAAGTAAAAACAGTTACAAACATGGTGTGAATAGTCTACACAAATTAAAAGACAGAGATTGTCAGTGGATAAAAATTAGTCCCAACTGTGTGTTGTATGTAAGAAGTCCTCTTTAAATATAGAGACACGGATCAGTTAAAAGTAAAGGGGTGAAGAAAGCTATGCCATGCTAACACTGATCAAGAGAACACTGGGAAATAGCTATATTAATTCAGGCAAAGCAGGAAACGTATCAGGGATAAAGAGAAGACATTACTCAATATTAAAGGGGTCATTTCTCCAGGAAGGCATAACAGTATTTAATGTGTACGCACTTAGCAGAGAATCAAAATACATGAGGCAAAACCTGATAGAACTACAAGGAAAAATAGATAAACCCGCTATTATAATTGAAGACTTCAGATAATTAGCAAGGATGTAGTTGCACTGAACTCCAACACCAATAAACTTGATCTAATTCACAATACTTCATCCAACCACAGCAGACTACAGGTTCTTTTCAAGTCACATGGAACAGTCACCAAGTTAGACCACATTTTAGGTCATAAAACATACCTTAACAAATTTGAAAAAATAAAAATAATACAGAGTATGTTCTCGTACCACAATAGAATTGAAGTAGAAATCAACAACAGCTGATGAAAGAAACGGAAAAGATTTAAATAAGTGGAGAGAGGTTCCATGTTTGTGGATAGGAAGAATCAATATTGTTAAGATGTCCATTCTTCCCATTATGATTATAGATTGAACACAATTTCAGTCAAAATCTCAGCAAGGTGTTTTGTGGAAATCAAAAAACTGATTCTAGAGTTTATACGAAAAGATAAGAGATGCAGAACAGCCAATGTGATACTGAAGAAGGATAAGAGTTAGAAAACTCACACTACCAGACTTCAAGGCTTACTATAAAGCTACAATAGCAAGACAGCAGATATCAATGAAGGGATAGATACATAGATCAATGGAACAGAATAGAGAGTCCAGATATAGACCTATACCAATGTAGTTAACTCATCTATGGCAAAGGGACAAAGGAAAGTCAATGGAGAAAGGAAAGTCTTTTTAAAAATGGTGCTGGAATAACTGGACATCCATTTAAAAAAAAACCAAAAAACTGGACACAGACCTTAGACCTTTCACAAAAATTAACTCAAAATGGATCATAGACATAAATGTAAAATGCCAAAATATGAAAATTCTAGGAAAAAACATAGGAGAAAATCTAGGTGGTCCTTGGGTTTGGCAATGACTTTTTAGACAGAACACCAAAAGTATGATCCATGAAAGAAAAAAAATTATAAGTTGGACTTTATTAAAATTAAAAACTCGTGCTCTGCCCTGACCCGTTTGGCCTACAGACTAAAGGGTCCCAGGTTCAATCCTCGCCAAGGGCACGTACCTCAGTCGGTTGAAGGCTCAATCCCTGGCCCTGGTAGGGCTGGTGTGGGAAGTAACCAGTCGATGTGTCTCTCTCACATGGATGGATCTCTCTCTCTCTCTCTCTCTCTCTCTCTCTCTCTCTCTCTCTCTCCCCCTTCCACTCTCTGGAAACAAACAAACAGAAACAAATGTGTGCTCTGCAAAAGACTTAAGAGAATGAAAAGACAAACCACAGACTAGGAGCAAATATTTGCAAAACACATATCTGATAAAGGACTTTTATCCAGAATATACAAAACTCAACAGTAAGAAAACAACCCAATTTAAAGATGATCAAAAGATCTGAACACATACTTCACCAAAGAAGATACCAATATAAAGTAAACAAATGAAACAGATGCTCAACCTCATTTGTCATTAGGGAATTACAAATTAAAACAATAATGAGATACTGCTACACACCTATAAGAATGTCTAATATCCCCCAGACTGACAGTGTTAAATGCTGGTAAAGATACAGAGCAGCAGGTACTCTCGTTTATTGCTGGTGGGAATGCAAGGTGGTATGACCACTTTGGAAGACAGCTTGGCAGTTTCCTACAAAGCAAAACATAGTCTTACCATATGACCCAGCAGTCATGTTCCTACATCTTTACCTAGTTGATTTCAAAACTTATGTGTACACAAAACTCCATGTAAATGTTTATAGAAGCTTTATTCATAATCGCAAAAAATTGGAAATAATCAAGCTGTCCTTCATTAGGTCAATGAATAATTACACTGGCACATCCATGCAATGACACCTGTGAGACACAGCATTGCAAAATGGGTCTGTTAGATGCAAGCAGCATTTGTTGCCACAAGGTAGTGGTTACTCAAGCTCTTGAGTGGTTTGAAATCTCCCTTTGAACTTAGTTCCCCAAATAAAATTCAAACTAGATGCTAAGCTCCTCCTGCCAGCACATAGAAAGTTCAAAAATTTTATTCTTTTTGAAGGGGTTAGATTTATCACCCTTTCCTGGTCTCTACTAAAAATGGTCTCTACTATAAAATGTAGCCACATCTTTGCCAGACTAAACCACAGAAACAAATTTAGGGAAGCCACGTGTCCTAATTTGCCTGGGACCCCAATTTTACCCTGTTGTCCTGTGAAATTATTAATAGTAATCCTCTTTACTTTCATAAGTGTACAGTTTAGACAATACAGAACCTCTTCAATTTTCCCCAAAATGGATCACCTTGGGTCACTTCAGCTTTTTACATCTTGAGTTAATGAAATTTCCATCTTTTACATATTTTATGATATGGGTCAGTGATTTGAGTGTCTTTTTCCAAGACATCTGTTTTAATTAGACCTGCCCTAAGGGAGGTCCTTTTTTGTTAGTTTTGCTTTGTTTAATGCAAAAACTTCTAACTTTAAGGGTTACTACTCTGTTTTGGAGTCTAAAAGATTGGAAAAACAAACCTTATTATTTCTCCTGCGAGTCACATTCCTTGTCACAAGGTGGCGTTTTACTCAAGGAAAACCCTTCTGTGATCTAAACTGGACACCTGGAACATTTTTGTTCTTTTTGTTCTTCGTATTTTACTTTTTACTTTGTTTTTAGGAAGAATGTACCAAGAATGCTTTCATCCCCCCTCCTAATGTCTTACATGTACTCACTTGCTGCCTTCCTGGTGCCTGAAGGAGCCCCTTGTGTGGGAGCCCCTTGCTTCCCCAGCTGCCTCGCTCGCTCCAGCCAGAGACCCTGGAGAGTGGGTTCCTACTCCGAGCACGGAGCCTATGCCCTGGGGGGGGAGGGCACAGCTTCCTGGGCAGCCACCTATGTTTCTTGTAAGAAACTGGACGCCTTGGAGCCTGGGGTTGGAGTGCCACCTTTGTGCATGCTGGGATGGGCTCGAGGCATCTGGGCATTATCCAAGTGGGGCTGTGCTGAGGGTCTCTCGCACCATCCTGTTCTGGTGGGTTCTGGTTTCCTCAGTAGTTGGGACCCCAGGGTCCTAGCCTGGTTTTGCCAGTCAGGCTTGGGTGGGATGGTTCTAGAATGATGAGCTGGGCCAGCCCCTCACTGTAGGATAGTCCAAGGTAGGTTTTTCAAAACAGGAGATGCAGCCAGCACTGGGCACCAGGCAGCCCTGGGGAGGAGGGGGTGAGGGAGCAGAGGAACCTTGGGCCTGCCCTTTGGCCCTAGAGTGAAGGAAGGGTGGACTCTGCCCTGAATCCACCAGTAAGGCTGAGTGCAGGAAGAGAGCAGAGTCCTCCTGGGAGCCAGCAGGGTGGTGGCAGAGGGGAGAACTGGTGGTGAGGGGTTCGAGTGCCTTGCAGGAGCAGCAGGCCAGATGTGAACCCCTGTGGGTGTCCTGTCTGCAGTGTCCTGACTGCCAGTGCTGAGCAACTGAGGGACTGGAGACTCTGACCCTGAGGAGGCCTTATCCCAGGCTAGCAGAGCCACCACAGGGCTTTTGCAGCCTGGGACCCTGGGTCCTTCCAGCTGGTGCTTCTGCACCGGGGGTCATGGTTGCCACCTGTTTCTGGTTGGTGTTTTAATGCCAGCAGTTTTATGTGACATCAGCAGGGGTTTATGTGCAGGTGTTCTGTACCTGGGATGTCTCTAGGGAGAGAAGTACCCGAGAAAACTGGGCAAGTGGACATCCCCTTACCTTGTGACATCAATGTTCATAGCAGGGTGACTTGGGCAGGTGGCACTGGAGCTGGCAGGCCCACCACAGCATTCTGCTCAAGATTGTCCTGCCCCTTGGGTGACCTTTTCTAAGTGGGCACAGCCCTGCCAAACTTAACGTTGCCCTGTGACCCATCTCCACTGCTCCTGGAGCTTGGCCGGAATCCCTCAGGTGAATCTGAGGCACATCTGTTCTAGGGGAAGCCTTAGGAGCCTCAGGGTGGGGCCGTTGTTTCTGGTGAGCCCCACTGGAGTCATATGTCATCCTACACGGAATGGCACCCAGCTGGGGAGGCAGTCTGGGGGTCAGGACCCTGAAGTCTTAGGGGGTTTGTTTCCAGGGAAGGTAGCCAGGGGCAGCACCAAGGGTGGGAATGACCCAGAGCCCTGTCTCCACCTGGAGCCCTTGCTTTGCTTTTACTCCCCTAGTGCGCCTGCAGGAAAAACTAAATCAGAACCTGGTGGCACTCTTGCTGGGTGGGGGCCGGGCCCACTCTGCATCTGCTGCCTGGGGTGAGCCTCTGGGCTCCGGGCCTGTGCTGCCCCATTTGTAATTGATGCCCAACACCTCTCCCAGGTCAAGGGTTTGAGGAGCAGTTAGCTGGTGGGCCT